CAGTGATTGTAAATAGGGGAATATAAAGTGGGTAAACTTTATAGGAGAAAACTGTTATTGCAGAGATAAAACTGGGTCATTATTGTGAGATGTATCTGTGCATAATCTGCCTTTTGTTCTTTTTATCTTTATTGCTATAATTATGTATGTTCCTGTCCTCTTGGTAGGGCCAAGACCCTCAGGCAGATTCTAAAATGGATGTTCATCCATTCAGGTTCCTTTGCTTTTTCCTCTGGCCCTGGAGCAAAGGCACCAGAGAGAGAGACACAAGAGCGTGACCATCTTGGAAAGCCTGGTACCTCCAAGATGTCTGCCCCTGGTCTCTCCAAGATGTCTGCCCCTGGTCTCTCCAAGATGTCTGCTCATTCAGATCAGTGGCCTGTGGTTCCACTTCAGCAGGACCATGTGAGCGTTCAGGGAGAGAGCGACCAGAGAGGGACCAGAGAGAGGTCAGAGAGATAAACCAGAGAAAGAGACCAGAAGGAGACCAGAGAGAGACCAGAGAAACCGGAGAGACCAGAGAGAGAGAGAGACGTGAGAGATGGGGGAAATCTGTTTAAAGTGTGTAATGTGGATGTAGGCTGCAGTACCGCGGGTGGCCTCTAGTTCATGTGAATGTAGCTTGCAGTACCGCGGGGGCCTCTAGTCCATGTGGAGACGGATTAAGCAGCCACACCCCAGAGTGGATGGGGGAAGGTGAAATAAAGTGCAAAATCAATGGGATTTAAAAGGTGTTGGAATCTCATTTGGAGCAGAGTGGAGGGTGTTGTGTTAGCGTTATAGGAAACATTTGATATGCTAACAGCATCGCCGCAGCGTCCAGCGGGGAGTGGTTGCGTTAGCGATTAAAGCTTTGGGGCATTAGCTCGATGTTTGAGCGGAGCGTGGAAACACAGAAATGCTGACGGAGAAACCTGATTATAACACTAATGACTTTACATTGTTTACTGCAAAAGGATATATGTACATACACTAGATTTATCTGTTCTGTTGGCAGCCAGTATCCGGGAGAGAGCAGAGAGAGAGAAGAGAGGGAGAGAGGGGGACCAGAGAGAGACCAGAGAGAGAGAGGGATCAGAGAGAGACCAGAGAGAGACCAGAGAGAGACCAGAGAGAGACTAGAGAGAGAGAGAGGGATCAGAGAGAGACCAGAGAGAGACCAGAGAGAGACCAGAGATAGACTAGAGAGAGAGAGGGACCAGAGAGAGAGAGATGGGGACCAGAGAGAGACCAGAGAGAGACCGAGAGACCAGAGCGACCAGAGAAAGAGATCAGAGAGAGAGAGAGATGGATCAGAGAGAGATAGGAGAGAGAAAGGGGGAGCAGAGAGAGACCAGGAAGAGACCAGAGAGAGAGAGAAAGGGATCAGAGAGAGAGGGGGACCAGAGAAAGACTAGAGAGAGAGGGACCAGAGAGAGACCAGAGAGAGGGAGACCAGAGAGAGAGAGAGAGAGAGGGGGACCAGAAAGAGACTGGAGAGAGACCAGGGAGAGACTAGAGAGAGAGAGAGAGAGAGAGAGAGAGAGAGAGAGAGAGAGAGAGAGCGACCAGAGAGAGACTAGAGAAAGACACCGGAGAGAGAGAGATGGATCAGAGAGAGATCAGAGAGAAAGCGAGGGATCAGAAGGAGACCAGAGAGAGACCAGAGAGAGAGAGGAACCAGAGAGAGAGAGAGGGACTAGAGAGAGACCAAAGAGAGAGAGAGAGAGGGACCAGAAAGAGACCAGAGAGAGACCAGAGAGAGAGAGGGAGAGAGAGAGGGGGATCAGAGAGGGATCAGAGAGAGACCAGGAAGAGACCAGAGAGAGAGCGAGAGGGATCAGAGAGAGACCAGAGAGAGAGCGGAGAGGGGGGGGGGGGGGGGGGGGGGGGGGGAGATGCCAGAGGGAGAGAAAGGGATCAGAGAGAGACCAGAGAGAGAGGGGGACCAGAGAGAGAGAGAGAGAGGGGGGACCAGAGAGAGAGACCAGAGAGAGACCAGAGGGAGACCAGAGCAACCAGAGAAAGAGATCTGAGAGAGAGAGAGATGGATCAGAGAGAGACCAGGAAGAGACCAGAGAGAGAGCGAGAGGGACCAGAGAGAGACCAGAGAGGGACCAGAGAGAGAGAAAGGGACCAGAGAGACCAGAGAGAGAGAGACAGGGGGAGCAGAGAGAGGGATCAGAGAGAGACCAGAGAGGCCAGAGAAAGAGAGAGAGGGATCAGAGAGAGAGGGGGACCAGAGAGAGACTAGAGAGAGAGAGGAACCAGAGAGAGAGAGAGGGGGACCAGAGAGAGACTAGAGAGAGAGAGGAACCAGAGAGAGAGAGAGAGAGACCAAAGAGAGAGAGAGGGGGGGACCAGAAAGAGACCAGCGAGAGACTAAGGGGAGAGAGGGAGAGAGAGGGGGGGAGCAGAGAGAGAGAGAGGGATCAGAGAGAGACCAGGAAGAGAGAAAGGGACCAGAGAGAGCCCATAGAGAAAGAGACTAGAGAGAGGGTTCAGAGAGAGAGTGGGATCCGAGGGAGACCAGAGAGAGAGAGGGATCAGAGAGGGAGACCAGAGAGAGAAAAAAAATAGAGAGAAAGAACAGAGACCGGCGACACTATATACTTGTTTATTGGATAGAACATAATCTTCTATCGCTGACGTGATGGGACTTGGTTCTGCTGCAGTTTTTCTTTAGTTTGACTTTAGTCGGCTTCATGAGAACTGGTATCTGTGTAAGACTTCTGCTGGATATAAAGCCCCCTGCTGGAGAGGGTCTACAGCCTCAGTCCTGGGTCTACAGCCTCAGTCCTGGGTCTACAGCCTCAGTCCCGGGTCTACAGCCTCAGTCCTGGGTCTACAGCCTAAGTCCTGGGTCTACAGCCTCAGTCCTGGGTCTACAGTCTCAGTCCTGGGTCTACGCCTCAGTCCTGGGTCTATGCCTCAGTCCTGGGTCTACAGCCTCAGTCCTGGGTCTACAGCCTAAGTCCTGGGTCTACAGCCTCAGTCCTGGGTCTACGCCTCAGTCCTGGGTCTACAGCCTCAGTCCTGGGTCTACAGCCTCAGTCCTGGGTCTACAGCCTCAGTCCTGGGTCTACAGTCTCAGTCCTGGGTCTACGCCTCAGTCCTGGGTCTACAGCCTCAGTCCTGGGTCTATACCTCAGTCCTGGGTCTACAGCCTCAGTCCTGGGTCTACAGCCTCAGTCCTGGGTCTATGCCTCAGTCCTGGGTCTACAGCCTCAGTCCTGGGTCTACAGCCTAAGTCCTGGGTCTACAGCCTCAGTCCTGGGTCTACGCCTCAGTCCTGGGTCTACAGCCTCAGTCCTGGGTCTACAGCCTAAGTCCTGGGTCTACAGCCTCAGTCCTGGGTCTACGCCTCAGTCCTGGGTCTACAGCCTCAGTCCTGGGTCTACAGCCTCAGTCCTGGGTCTACAGCCTCAGTCCTGGGTCTACAGCCTCAGTCCTGGGTCTACAGCCTCAGTCCTGGGTCTACAGCTTGGTGAGGAGAGTGAACTCTTGTGAGAAGCCTTTAATTGCTCCTTTACATTTTATAAATCACAACTAAAGCTCGTTCATTTTGTTTCAGTCCTGGAGCATAAATCATCTCGCTCTGACGTGAATTATGACTTATGACTCTCTCCACTTTATTCATTAATTGGCTTCAGAGTAATTACAATAAGCCTCCAGCGAACAGGCTCCGGCTCTGATGTGAGGACGCAGGAGGTGAACTTTAAGATATTTAGTTACATTGGTCTCTCTCATCAGGTCTCTCTCTGGTCTCTCTCTGGTCCCCCTCTCTCTCTCTCTTTCTGGTCCCTCTCTCTCTCTGGTCTCTCTCTCTCTCTGGTCCCTCTCTCTCTTTCTGGTCTCTCTCACTCTCTCTCTGGTCTCTCTCTCTCTCTCGTCCCTCTCTCTCTTTCTGGTCTCTCTCGCTCTCTCTCTGGTCTCTCTCTGGCCAGTCTTTCTTTCTGGTCTCTCTCTGCTCTCTCTCTGGTCTCTCTCCCTGGCATCTCTCTGGTCCCTCTCTCTCTTTCTGGTCTCTCTCGCTCTCTCTCTGGTCTCTCTCAGGTCTCTCTCTAGTCTCACTCTGGTCTCTCTCTCTCTCTCTCTCTCTCAGGCCTCTCTCAGGTCTCTCTCTAGTCTCTCTCAGGTCTCTCTCTCTCTCAGGTCTCTCTCTAGTCTCACTCTGGTCTTTCTCTCTCTCTGTCTCTGGTCTCTCTCCAGTCTCTCTCTCTGGTGATGTCCTCTCTCTCTTTTGGACTGGTTTGATCAGACTCTACTATCTCAGATCTATGAATGATAAATGACTGAGAAATGAAATACTTTATAAATCATGATGAATGCGGAGCCAGAGAGTAACGTCGAACTAATCATGGAGAAAATGAGAAACTGGAGAAACGTTTGGATCAATCAAACGACTGGAGGAAGTGAACTGGAATATAATGATTTGATGAAGTCCTCAAGAATTATTTTAAGTCATCGTTGGTAATATCTGTAACTTCTGGCAACCATAGTCCTAGGTCGCATCAATATGGGCCTCTCTGGTCTCTCTCTGATCTCTCTCTGGTCTCTCTCTGTTCCCTCTCTGGTCTCTCTCTGGTCTCTCTCTGGTCTCTCTCTGGTCTCTCTCTGTTCCCTCTCTGGTCTCTCTCTGGTCTCTCTCTGGTCTCTCTCTGTTCCCTCTCTGGTCTCTCTCTGGTCTCTCTCTGGTCTCTCTGGTCTCTCTCTGATCTCTATTTGGTCCCCCTTTGGTCTCTCTCTGGTCTCTTTTCTCTCTCTGTGGTCTCTTTGGTCTCTCTCTCACTCTCAGGTGCCTCTCTCTGGTCTCTCTCTAGTCTATCTCTGGTCACTCTCTGGTCTCTTTCTGGTCCCTCTCTGGTCTCTCTCTGGTCTCTCTCTGGTCTCACTATCAAGTATCTCTCTCTCTGCTCACTCTCTCTGATCTCCCTCTCTCTCGCTGGTCTCTCTCTTTGGAACAGTTTCTTCAGAATCTGCAGTAATCTCCGTTGCTCTAAAACACATTCCTCTCTTTCCTAAACCTTCTTCTTCCAGTTCGGTCGGTTCTTTCCGTTTTCTCGCCTCCAACTCGTCTGCTCTCGTTTGATCAGAGCAGCGTCCTCGGGGCTCTCCCAAATCTCAAATCCTCAACTTCAAATACGTGCCCCGGCAATCAAAGAGCAGCAAGAGAGACCGGGGCTTCCAGAGCGAGAGAGCAAATATGTAATAGTACTGAAGGAATAACTTGTCATGGTGTGGACTTTTTGTTGATTGTGACTGACCAGTTTTATTTCTGCATTTTTTTCTATTTCGAGTCATTTTTCAACTGCTCATGGTCCGGATTTGAGGTAAAGGCTTTTCAAAGTTACTCATGGAGAGAGACTGTACGAGAATTTTCCAAACTCTGCCTGGAGCAATCTACTCTTCTGTCATGTCTGTCACTCTGGTTTCTCTCTGGTCTGTCTTTCATCACTATTTAGTCTCTCACTCTCTGGTCTCTCTCTTGAATACCTCTCTGGTCTCACCGTCAGGTCTCTCTCTATGTTGTCCCTCTGTTCTCTGTTCTCTCGGGTCTCTCTCTGGTCTCTCTCTGGTCTCTCTTTGGTCTCTCTCTGGTTTCTCTCTGGTTTCTCTCTGGTCTCTCTTTCTGGTCTCTTTCTGGTCTCTCTCTCTCTCTTGATTTCAGATTGTTGTTAGTTTGTTTGTTTTGTTTATTGAATCTAATACTTTAGCACGGCTCCCTTTGTTCTGCGTACACTTGCTTCTGTCTGCACCAGAGCGATTAGTCCTGGTCTCAGGTCTTTGTCCTGAAGTCCAAACCAGGATCCGGGGAAATTCCATGGTAACCATGAGCTGAGTAGAGTAGAGTAGAGTAGAGTAGAGTAGGGTAGAGTAGGGTAGAGTAGAGTAGAGTGGAGTAGGGTAGAGTAGGGTAGAGTAGAGTAGAGTGGAGTAGGGTAGAGTAGAGTAGAGTAGAGTAGAGTAGGGTAGAGTAGGGTAGAGTGGAGTAGGGTAGAGTAGGGTAGAGTAGAGTAGAGTAGAGTAGAGTAGAGTAGGGTAGAGTAGGGTAGAGTAGGATAGAGTAGAGTAGAGTAGAGTAGGGTAGAGTAGAGTAGAGTAGAGTAGAGTAGAGTAGGGTAGAGTAAAGTAGAGTAGAGTGGAGTAGGGTAGAGTAGGGTAGAGTAGAGTAGAGTAGAGTAGGGTAGGGTAGGGTGGAGTAGAGTAGAGTAGAGTAGAGTAGAGTAGAGTAGAGTAGGGTAGAGTAGACTAGAGTAGAGTAGAGTAGAGTAGATGGAGGTGGTCAGCTGTAATAATAATGTTTATTAGTGTCAGGAAAAGCAGAGAAAAGACAAACACACAGTAAAACATTTAATACATTTGACCCGGTTCCGTACATTTGACCCAGTTCTGTACATTTGACCCAGTTCTGTACATTTGACCCGGTTGTGTGCATTTGACCCGGTTGTGTGTGTGTGAGTGCAAGACAACCCCCAAAAAGACTCAAGAAACAAGAAAAAAAGAAGAAAAAACATGCATCAAAAATACCTTGGTCCCGCGGCTTGTTGGTGGAGGACTCGGCCTGTGTTTTTGTGATCGGACCTAGGGTTAAGAAAAAAAGGGGGAAAAAGAGAAAAGACAAAATTCAAAAAAGATTACTGGCAAAAACGTAAAAAGAAAAAAAAAAGAAAAAAAAAGATGATAAAAAAAGAAAAGAAGAAAGAGAGAAAAAAAAGACAAGATTTAGCAAAGATTCAAGATTTAAGATTTTTCCCCCAAAGATAAAAAACAAAAAGGAACAAACAGCAATTCAGCACAAACAAGGTTAGTTTGTGTGTGTGTGAGTGTGTGTGGGCGTGTGTGTGTGTGTGTGTGAGCGTGTGTCTGTGTGTGTGTGTGTGTGTCTGTGTGTGAGCGTGTGTCTGTGTGTGTGTGCGTGTGTCTGTGTGTGTGTCTGTGTGTGAGCGTGTGTCTGTGTGTGTGTGTGTGCGTATGTCTGTGTGTGTGCGTGTGTCTGTGTGTGTGTGTGTGTCTGTGTGTGAGCGTGTGTCTGTGTGTGTGCGTGTGTGTGTCTGTCTGTGTGTGTGTGTGTCTGTGTATGTGTACAGTATGTGTGTGTGTCTGTGTGCGTGTGTGTGTCTGTCTGTGTGTGTGTGTTTGTGTATGTCTGTCTGTGTGCGTCTGTCTGTGTCTGTGTGTATGTGTGTGTGTGTAAGTGTAGGTGTGTGTGTGTGTTTGTGTCTGTGTGTGTGTTTGTGTCTGTGTATGTGTTTGTGTCTGTGTGTGTGTCTGTGTGTGTGTGTCTATGTGTGTGTGTAGGTGTGTGTCTGTGTGTGTCTGTATTTGTGTGTGTGTTTGTGTCTGTGTGTGTGTAGGTGTGTGTCTGTATGTAGGTGTGTGTCTGTATGTCTGTATGTAGGTGTGTGTATGTGTGTGTGTGTGTAGGTGTGTGTCTGTGTGTGTGTATGTAGGTGTGTGTCTGTGTGTCTGTATGTAGGTGTGTGTATGTGTGTGTGTATGTAGGTGTGTGTCTGTGTGTGTGTATGTAGGTGTGTGTCTGTGTGTCTGTATGTAGGTGTGTATGTAGGTGTGTGTCTGTATGTAGGTGTGTGTGTGTGTGTATGTAGGTGTGTGTGTGTGTGTATGTAGGTGTGTGTCTGTGTGTGTGTATGTAGGTGTGTGTCTGTATGTCTGTATGTAGGTGTGTGTCTGTGTGTGTGTATGTAGGTGTGTGTCTGTATGTGTGTATGTAGGTGTGTGTATGTGTGTCTGTGTGTAGGTGTGTGTCTGTGTGTGTGTATGTAGGTGTGTGTCTGTGTGTGTGTGTGTATGTAGGTGTGTGTCTGTGTGTGTGTATGTTAGGTGTGTGTATGTAGGTGTGTGTCTGTATGTAGGTGTGTGTATGTAGGTGTGTGTCTGTATGTAGGTGTGTGTATGTAGGTGTGTGTATGTAGGTGTGTGTATGTATGTAGGTGTGTGTATGTAGGTGTGTGTATGTAGGTGTGTGTATGTGTGTGTGTGTGTAGGTGTGTGTATGTAGGTGTGTGTATGTAGGTGTGTGTCTGTGTGTGTGTCTGTGTGTGTGTATGTAGGTGTGTGTCTGTGTGTGTGTATGTAGGTGTGTGTATGTAGGTGTGTGTCTGTGTGTGTGTATGTAGGTGTGTGTATGTAGGTGTGTGTATGTAGGTGTGTGTATGTAGGTGTGTGTATGTAGGTGTGTGTATGTATGTAGGTGTGTGTATGTAGGTGTGTGTATGTAGGTGTGTGTATGTGTGTGTGTGTGTAGGTGTGTGTATGTAGGTGTGTGTATGGACTTGAGACTCAAAAACAGTGAGATTTAAAAAAGAGAAGAAAAGCCATCAACGCTGAAGAGTCACACGGCTGTGGAGGAAGAAGGTTAGAGGCACCGGGAGAGAGACCAGGAGAGAGAGACCTGGAGGAGACACCAGGAGAGAGATACCAGGAGAGAGACCAGGAGAGAGACACCAGGAGAGAGAGACCAGGAGGAGACACCAGGAGAGAGACACCAGGAGAGAGAGACCAGGAGGAGACACCAGGAGAGAGACACCAGGAGAGAGACACTAGGAGAGAGAGACACCAGGGAAGAGACACCAGGAGGAGACACTAGGAGACAGACACCAGAAGGAGACACCAGGAGAGAGACACTAGGAGAGAGACACCAGGAGGAGAGACACCAGGAAACACACAAAACCGATTCTGTCAGAGCAGAATAGAAAACACCAGATTTCCCTTTGGTGTAAGACCATGTGTGATTCACAGACAGCACCATGAACGACTGGAACTCAGAGGTTCTGAGCTACAACCAGGTGTACCAGGACTGTGTGGTGGAGCTGGAGTTGGCTGGATGAAACTGTGGCTCAATGGGTGAACAGAGATCTGGGAAATAAACCATCAAAAAATATTCCCATCTCAGTTTTCCCAAACAAGTGTTTTTGGGACAAAACAATCTTAAAAGTGACGTGGACATTGACAAACAGGTGTTTGGGGCAAGCTGTGAAAGACTCGTGAAAAACATTACAGTTTACATTGTTCACAAAGAGGTCCCTCAACCAGGGCTGGACTGGGACCAAAAAACCACCAATCTTTGCCTTCTTGACGGCCCAGGCGTGTGTTTTTTTTCCACGTTTTTTTTTTACAGTTTGTTTATGCAGTATGTGGAAGCAAATACTGTAGAGGATCAGGATGTCTGCAGTTTCAACAATAAAATAAAGTACAATAGTCTACATTACAAGAGAATAATAAACATGTCTCAGAGTGAGGGAGGTGGACACAGACAACACTATTGTTTGTTACAGGGATGAGAATTGGTCAAAAAAAGTCTGAAATGCATAATGTCAGCCATTGGCTGGCTCTATATCTGTTTGATTTGTTCACAACATGTTACTTTTGGGCACAACCAACATGAACTTTTAAAGTATTGGAAAATGTAGGTACCCAAGCTTTAATTTAGAGAGTTTAGTCGAGCTTCGAGAGGAGAGGGGAGACGCGGACTGTTTCCTGCAGCAGTGAAGTTATTGGGTACACAGATTAGGCAAAGACACGCACACAACAAGCAGAGAATCGTCCTGTGTGCGTTTATGGTCTTTATACATGGTTGCGCGCTCACAACACGGTGGAGCGGCTTGACGCTCACAGCCGCACACAGCCCGTGGTCGAGGGAACCGCTCATTATAAAGTGGCCGCAGCTGCTTCGGAACACTGCGGCCGCCGAGGCGGCGAAATCCTGTTTGAGTACATTCAGCAGGTGCCCTACGGACATGCGCGCCCCCTCGAACATTTCTCAACGGATTTAGACTTTTCACAAACATGTCTTTTGTATGAGGCAGACAGGCCGGCCCAAATATGGGCATTGGCCCTTCGGGCATTGCCCGGTACACCCGATGGCCAGTCCAGCCCTGCCCTCAACTCTGATAACGAGGTGAGGGACCAGAGAGAATCCAGAGAGAGTCCAGAGAGAGACCAGAGAGAGACCAAAGAGAGACCAGAGAGAGGCCAGAGAGACGTGAGAGAGGCCAGAGTGAGACCACAGAGAGACCAGAAAGAGGCCAGAGAGAGACCAGAGAGAGACCAGAGAGAGACCAGAGAGAGAAAGACCAGAGAGAGACCAGAGAGAGACCAGAGAGAGAAAGACCAGAGAGAGACCAGAGAGAGACCAGAGAGAGATCAGAGAGAGATCAGAGAGAGACCAGAGAGAGAAAGACCAGAGAGAGACCAGAGAGAGAGACCAGAGAGAGACGAGAGAGAGAGAGAGAGACCAGAGAGAGAGACCAGAGGGGGAGACCAGAGGGGGAGACCAGAGAGACACCAGAGAGACGCCAGAGAGAGACCAGAGAGATAGACCAGAGAGTAGAGAAGAGTAGAGTAGAGCTTGTGAAAGGAAAACACATTTAGCTTTAGGCCAAAGACAAAAGGTATTCTCTTTTTGGTTTGTCGCTCTGTGAGTAAATAATTACATGGTGACCGCCTCTGGAAGACAAGAGAGCGTGAAGCCAATGATGTGTGTGTGTGTGTGTGTGTGTGTGTGTGTCAGAGCCCAGAGGCTGTTTATGCTGCGATTACAGAAAAAACAAGCGCACCCTTTTGTGTTCTGGTTCACGACAGACTTAATCGACTGCCAATCAGAGAGGAGATCCGAACACAGGGCTTCAGGCTGATTCAGGAGAGGGGGTGGGAGGGGAGAGAGGAGAGAGAGAGGAGAGAGAGGAGAGAGGAGAGTTTCTCTTGATTAGCCTCTCTGGTCTCTGGTCTCTCTCTGGTCTGGCATCGGATTGGTCAGTCCTTATAGGAGGATCTTTGTTTACACCCGCATGCGCCCCTCGCTGTGTGGCAAGAAGACAGAGCGGCGCATACTGAGGCATGGATGCGACGTGTACGTTTAAAAGACTCAGTGGGCAAATAGCACTGTATATAAGCACTTTAACGCAAGAAGATCAGAGGAGCTATCGAGACAAGCTAAAAACAAGTATGAGACTGAACTGAACAAATAAAGCCCACAAGAGACCATGGGTCAGACTCACCTCGCTTTTGGCACCGATCTGATGGGACTGGGACACGGAGATATTTATTCTTACTTCATAGAAAACCCGAGACCCTTCACTCAAGAAGGGTCCGTAGGGAAAATCCATTTCTCGCGTTTTTCACCACAGTAAAGTGGCCCGGCATTTCGCCACGCATTAAAAGCGGGTTGCCTCTTTTTGCTGATACTTACGGTAAAGGTGGAACAGGAAGCCGCGAGGATGAGCAACCAAAATGCAATGTTTAAAATTAATCATCATTCATGAATGAATGAATGAGTGAACAAGTCCACAGTGAAAGTAGTTGCAAAACTTAAATTTGTTTATGAATTTTTATCCCCTCATCCCCCCGGCTTCATGTTCTACGTTTACCGTAGGTAGTAACAGCATAAAAGGGCAACCACTTTACCGCGGCCGTTTTTCGCTGTTCTTTTCCGAAAGGATTTGAAAAAAACCGTAATCTGTCCCCAGCGGGCCGTACGACCGACCACACAACAAGAACGGACCATTTGATTTAGTAAAACCTCTCTACAAACGTCTAAAACTAGCTAACTCTCTAGCATCCAG